TTTATACCAAAACCAGGTAAAGTCACCACCAAAAGAGCAGGGTTTAGGGCTGTTGTGCATAGGGTCACTATGAGTCGCAAACAACTGGACGGCACATAACGACAACAACCTACAGGTCTCTCTGATTACCAGCCTCTGAAAACCTGCTTGAGGGTCAGCTAGGAGTCAGCTCCGACTTCACGGTACATAGCAACAACAGAAGAAATCAGAGGTTACTGAACTTTCATTTATGCATTGCATCAATAAATCCTAGTGATGTGGTCCAGCGTGCTGCTAACCAAAGGGGGTACCTGTCTAGCAGTTCAACTCCATCAGCTGCTCTGAGAAAGATGGGCGATCTCTTCCCACAGTTTACAGTCTCTGAAAATCCATTGGAAGGTCAGCTGTGAAGCAGTTCTGCCTTTATGGCAATGAGTTTGAATGTCAACAAACACTTTCTGTCCGGTGAGTCTCTGGGTAGTGTAAATAGTTAAACATTCAATGAAGGACTAGGCTGCTGACCAAGAGGTTGATGGCTGAATCCACCCAGAGATGTTTCAGAAGAAAGGCCTAGTGACCTACTTCCAAAAGATAACAGCCACTGAAAACCCAACAGAACAGTTTTACTGCCACATACTATTATGTCATTATGAGTTGGACTCAAGGGCAGTTGATCTAGTGTTTTGATTTTATGTCACACCAGACATGGAGTATAGCAGTGATCAACATGGACATGACATGAAGTTCAGACAAGTTATTTTTAAAGAAGCAAAATATAAAAGAATAAAAAAGATATGGGAACCAATCAGGTGAACTACAGAAACATCCTTTGGTAAGGTGTGGCCTTACTAAACCAAGCTGCAGTGCAGTATTGATTTTACAGAGCCCACAGGGTCTGGGGTATTGGGGGCAGGTATGTTGGAGACAATGAGATTGGCTCAAGATGGGGCAGGGTTCAGAACTCCTGTGCAAAGGGTTGCTATGAGTGGCAGGTGACTTGATGGCACATCACAACAACATGCATCAGTGATGCCTCTCAGAATGGCTCCTAATGATTTCTGTATTGGAAAAATAAATCCAACTCTGATGGGAAAAATAATACAGGAAAGGGTTTCAAGTAAAAATAAGTATAGGAAAGGAAAGAAGAATGAAGGAAGATCATTTTCTTTTTCAGCCACAGTGCTTTGTATACTTAGACCAAGAAGCTGTTGTCCCGACAGAGCAAGAGACAACTGCATGCTTCAAAATCAAGAAAGGAGTGTGTCAGGGATGTATCCTTTCTCCATATCTATTCAAAACATATGCAAAACATATAATTCAGGAAGCTGGACTTTATAAAGACTGTGGCATAGGATCAACAGGAGGAAAATGCATCAACAGCCCATAACATGCAGATTATAACCTTGCTTACAACCTATAACTTTGCCTGCTGAAAGTCAAGAGGACTTGGAAGTGCTTGCTGCAGATCTAAAGCTTTCAAATGGATTGCATCTCAACATCAAGAAAACAAAAATCCTCACTACTGGGCCAATAGGCACTATCATGACAGATGGAGAAGAGAGTGAAGTTGTCAACAAGTTCATCTTATTTGGATCCACAATCAACATCCTTGAGGTACCAAGCATTCAAGTAATCAAAAATTGAATGGCACTGGGAAAATCTCCTGTCAGTACAGAAATCTTCCCGAGTACTAAAGAGCAAGGATGTCAGTTTAAAGACTAAGGTACTCCTGATCCAAGCCATGGTCTTTGTTTGTTTGACAATTCAGCACATTTTAATTTTTTTCTCCCATTTATTCAATGTTGCACTTTTCTCCCCTCCCAACCCTCCTCCCCACCCAGTACACTACACTCTTGGATAAGTAAAAGAAAAATTCTTTCATTGTTTTACAATCCCTCCCCCCAGGTTCACTCCACTATACAGCCTTCACTCTGGACTCTTATCATGACAAAAATCCCTAATCA